GGCTGAGGTGGTCAGTTGAGCCCAGGAGGTCGAGACTGCATAAGCCATGACTGTACCGCTACACTCCAGCCTGGGCAACAGTGAGAACCTGTCTCAAAAATTAAAAATGAAACTGTTACACTCATTTATCATGATAGCTTCTTGTTGCTTTTTCCCATTACCAAAAACCACCGGCTACTCTAGACAATTTACTCAAAAATTGGGAGTAATGCAATTTTCATTTTATAGTTGAGAAAACTGAGGCTTACAGAAATAGGTCAGGCGAGGTGGCTCACACCTGTAATCCCAGAATTTAGGGAGGCTGGGGGTGAGGGGCGGTGAGAGGGGGGTATTGCTTGAGGACACGAGTTTGAGACTACCCTGGCCAACATAGTGAGATTCCCTCCAGCCCCGTCTCTATTAAACAATAAATAAATATGAGAAGTTAAATAATTTCCCCAAAATTACATTGTTAATGGCAGATCCAGAATTTATACTAGATCTGCCTGGTTCCCAAGTCTATGCTATACATATATATACACACATATATTATAGAGATGGGGTTTCACCATGTTGGCCAGGCTGGTCTCTAACTCCTGACCCTCATGCAATCCATCCACCTCAGCCTCCCAAAGTGCTGGGCTTACAGGCGTGAGCGACTATGCATGGCCATCCAAATCTATTCTCTTAACAATTTTGCTATTTGCTGTAAGGACCATGTAAAAGAAAATGCATATGCTGGGCGCAGTGGCTCATGCCTGTAATCCCAGCACTTTGGGAGGCCGAGGTGAGCGGATCACTTGAGGTCAGGAGTTCGAGACCAGCCTGGCCAACACAGTGAAACTATGTCTCTACTAAAAAAAAATAAATTAATTAATTAATTAAAAAAATAAAAATGAGCTGGGCATGGAAAGAAAAAAAAGAAAAGGAGGAAGGAAGGAAGGAAATGTATAGCTAAAGGGAAATTACTACCATTTCCTATCTGTTTTTCTCCCACTCTCTTCCCCAAAAGTTCACCTGCCCTTGTCCTCAAAGCCACAGGACGCCTAATTGCTATTTTTGCGTTTCAGCTGAAACGCCTCGGGTTTGTGGATTGCGAGGGTGTGTTACATTTTCGGTGTTCCGGTCAGCCGGAACCACTCACTCTGCTGCTAGTGCTGTGTAGGGTGTACCTCTTCGGAGTTCCTGGAGGTGGTGCCAGACTAGAGTGGCAGCTATAGTAACCAATAGACACGGACTTTGTTGGATCAGAAGCCAGTGAGGAAACTTGTGGAGGAGAAGCGGCGATAATCCGTTTGAGGATGTAGGCACCGGTATGAAGGAACATGGGGCTGTATCAGAGGTGGCAGCGGCTCCGGCTCCAAGGTTTACAGGCTTACGGGCTACACACGGTGCGTCAGTTACCCCCAAAGTTCCGATCCGCATCAGACCCAGCCCAGTCAAAGCCCCAGAATTTTTATGTTAACCCAGCCTTACGCCACCCCTCCTCTCCCTCGTCCTCCGAGTCCCCAGACAGAGCTACCTCATAGCTAAACTCGTGATCTAATTCTCGAGTTAGCAGTCTGGGGAGCGTAGAGCTCGAAGGGCCCCCAGCCTCGGGTCCTGTATCACCCTCCCTTTAAAGACTAGGAATTCGGACGAAGGCGTAAACATCCCATAGTGCTATCATCCGCAATTCTACGAAACGGTGATGGGACATATGTTACCTGCCAATATATCTTTCCCTCCAGGCAGTTGTGTCGACCCCTCCGCACTGGTTGGCAGAGCGGCTTGGCCTTTTTGAGGAGCTATGGGCTGCTCAGCTAAAGAGATTAGCAAGCATGGCACAGAAGGAACCTCGGACTATTAAGATATCACTTCCTGGAGGCCAGAAAGTTGATGCTGTGGCATGGAACACAACCCCCTACCAACTAGCCCGGCAGATCAGGTAACAGGCCCATCCTGTAACTACCAGGATTATCCTTCCGCCCCTTTACTTTCTCTGCACTTGAGCAGGGGAAGAAGGCTTGATCTGC